TTAAGCTTGATTTTGAGGTTTTTCAGAAAGCGCTGAAAGGGCGAAAAGAAGATTACGTTTCGCTTTTACGAAATTAAGCAGAATAGGCTAAGGGCTAGTAGCACATTTACTTAACGATATGGATCAAAATTCAGAGCTTAAGCCTAAACGATAGAGCAAAGTTTCGTATACGATGTCAACATATAAAACCTAAACAGTTCTAAGAAAAAGAGAAAAATTTTCCAAATAACGAAACCTCAACCCTTCGCACCGATGGTGAAAGGTGATTTTCTCTCGGATGCCACAGCGTATCAAGAAAGCTTCCTCATTTACCAATTACAGTGATGAAATTACTGATATTTAGGCTTTCGATTGACATCAAAAACCTTGAGGAAAAGCTCAACTCAGCAAAAAACGCGCCACGTATGAGACTTATTATATTTTTGCTACTAAAGCGCAATGAAAAAGCAATCCCACAAACGAAGTTCAACACTAAAATTGTCGGGATTTCCGCGTTCTCTCTAAAAATGGTTACGGATGATAAAAATTCTCCAGAATTTCGAGAGCAGTTAAACAAAAAAGTAGACATAGAAATGAAGAAATAAAGAGTATATAAAGGAGCCTAATGAATAACTCACCAAAGGACTCTATCGTCACAGACGGTGACGATTCGCTGCTGTGCAGTCGAAGGCGGACGAACCCGGGCAACCACGCGAATGAATTCAGCCGCGGCCATGATCAAAGCGAAATTCGGACTTCTCGCAAAGCCGCAATGAACGCTGTCTGCAAGCTTTTTACGATCAACACGATTGATGGTAACTCTAAAGAGATATGCCTGATAATTGTTTTTTGAGCCATGCATGTGGTATGTGATGTCACTTACACGACCAATCAATACACATGTGTTTCGGCCTTGGCAGCTTCGTCAGTTGGGCAGTGCTCTGTGTAACACGGTTCGGCCCCTCCCCTAAGAGAATTGTCTTAGACGAAAGGCGTTGCCCCAATCAACGGAGCTGCCAAGGCCGAGGCACATATGTATTGGGCTGTATAAGTGCCCATAATAGACCACATGCATGGCTCAAGAAAAATAAGGATTAGCAGGCAAATTGATACAATTCAGCGTGGTTTAAAAAACACCCGAAACGAAAGGTATAATAGTTCATAATTACCACCCAAAAGCAATCGATCGTACAACACTGCCCATCTATTGATTTCTTTCTCTTGATGGCATGTGTAAATAGTACGTCTACGCCTTCTCTCTGAGCGGAGTTGGGGTCCACCAAAGGGACTGGCTAAGGCGAAAGGCGCTGCCCAATTGACGAGGCTGCCAAGGCAGAAACACGAGTATTGAGCCGTAGAAGTAAGTGCCCATGACACACCACATTCATAGATCAAAAAAATTAATTATCAGGCATATTGAGATTCGAGTGCGATCTTAGGAAACACTCAAAACGAATGGAATGATCGTTCGCGACAACTCGAAATACTGATATTTCTTAAACCTCGGCATGATAATGATATAAAACTGAGAAAACGAGGAGAATAGCTAGAAAAAACTAATCTTTATTTTGGATTTTCGCGAGGTTGCCTATCATCTCCGTTTTTTTGTAACATTATTCATACTCGGAATTGATAGTATTTCATTGATGCATTTCGCATTGTTATGATATTTTCTATATACCTAAGAGAATTGAGTGGTGAACAAAAACGCGGCCTCAGGCGGGAATCGAACCCGCGTTTCATCCTATCCGGGGACGCGTGCTCTAACAACTGGGTTTATAAAGCGAAATCGCATACCTGACCAAACATGTCAAAGGTTGGTGGCTGATAGCTAACATTGAGATGTTGGAGATAGAGTGGTCGGGCAAATGTGCCTCGGTGGTGTAGTGGTTAGAGCACGCGTCCCCGGATAGGATGAAATGCGGGTTCGATTCCCGCCTAAGGCCGCGTTTTTGTTCACCACTCAATTCTCTTAGGTATAAAGAAAACATTATTCATATATATATATATATATATATATATATCATATCCTTCGTCTCGAAAGTTTTCTTAACACCACGTTCAAATTTCAACATATCTCTTAACTATTATTTGAGTCAGCATGTCATGTGGTCTGTTATAGGCAAATTTATAGGGCCCCATACAGGTGTTTCGATCTTGACGGTCTCATCAGTTGGGCAGCACTCCGAGGAGTCACTCACTCTTTTGCCAATCCTCTCAGGGCGCTCCAGTCCCCGATACTGTGAGTAGGCGACGACGAACATTTTACACCGTCCACTTGGTGAAAATATCACCGAATGGGCAGTGTCGTACACTCGATTGCTCTTGGCTGGTATAGTTACATTATGAGATATGTTGAAATTTGCGCGCGGTCTTGAGAAAGGAAGCTCGGAACGAAAGGCATGATGTTATTAACGATGCCAGCGAAGAGCAATCGAGTGTACAACACTGTCCATTTAGCGGTAATTTCACTTGACTGACAGTGTACAGTGTTCGTCGTCGCCTACCCCCAGTATCGGGGACTGGAGCGCCCCCGAGAGGATTGGCAAAAGACCAAGAGGTACGCCTGATTGATGAGACTGTCAAGGTCGAAACACGTGTATCAGGCTCTCTAAGTCAGCCCATTTAACAGACCACATGACATAATGGCTCAAATGATAATTACGAGATATGTTGAAAGATTATTCATAGAATTGTACAGAGTATTGTGAAAAAAGTGAAAATCTATGGCATTAGTAAGCGATATTTTATTCAAGGGAAACAACTCACCGTGTTATGTGGTCTAGCAACTGGCCGTGTTCTCTTCTGCGCAGGGTGGCGCATGACCCCGCCCCACCCTGCCCCCTACCCCCTCCTCCCCCATGTCGCCAGGTCATGTTGATCAAGAGGGTCAGCTGATACCCAGATTAGAAAATGGATCTGAGATAAGGTGCCATGTGGTTGGTTAGATCAAGGCACTCTCCCTTTCTGTTCCTTTCTTTTTGTGACCTTTGTGACCGTTTTGTGACAAACCCTTCTTGTGAATAAAAGAATTCATCCAGAAAGCGTCGAGGGTTTTTCACGTTGATGTTTTCGATTCATCATCGTATGCCTTTTTTATACTGTGTGTGCCTAGAGGTTTATTTGGACCTTCATTTTGACTTTCCATCCAGGTGTTAAGAGTGCATGAGGCGCAGTGGTTGGAGGTGCTCTGCGTCGCACACGAGGTCAATGGTTTGATCTCGCGCTCATGGCTCACCAAACCGTCCATCCCTCAAGGTCCGGTAAATTGGTACCAGACTGGTCTTAGATCTGTCTGGGAGAATAAGTAGCACTGACTCGGTGCAGCGGTAGGCCATCGCGGGTCATTGAAAAAGCCGGATATGCATTCAATAACCTCAAGCGAAGTTAAAAATTGAAGACGAACATACTTTGGAGATTGATCAAGAGCTCTATCGTTTTTTATCCATTATCTAGATGTTCTTTTAAGCGATTATGAGGTGGTCTGCCTATTTCGCCAATGTATCCTTCATCAAATCTCTTGAAGAGGTAAGGTAGTTGTACCTGTGCTCATACAGTCGCCGTCTCTACCGTTGAGACAAATAACGCAGTCCTTTTTACTTCATAGACGGTCATACAAGCGGTTTCCAACCAATTGACGAGGCAACGTTTTAGGAGGAATTTTTACAATTCATAGAAAGACTTTCCTAGACCACTGCCCTGTGGGCATTTTCTAATAGCTGTGGTTACTTCGTCTGTTATGAAAGGAAGTGTAAGAGGCACTTTATCTATTTAGGTATGGCGCACTATTGTTTTCATTGCAAGACTTTTTGCTCTTTTTCAACCTGAAGTTAGCGATTGTTTTTTCGTACCCATTGGAAATGGCTAAATTTCAAGATACCAAACTCCAGTTTTTTTCTCAGTTTTACATTATTGATACCAACCTCGCAAAAGCTCAGAATGTTTGGTATATCGTAAATGCCAGCCAAGAGCAATCGAGTTTAGAACACAGTCCATCTAGTGATTTCTTTCACTTGATGGCAATTGTAAATAGTGCGCCTAAGTTTCCTCTATGAAAAAGGGGGTGTGTTCCACCTAAGAGGATTGGCTAAGACGAAAAGCACTGCCCAATTGACGAGGCTGCTAAAGCCGAAACAAGTGTAATGCGCTGTATAAGTGCCCATAACAGATCATATGCATGCCTCAAACAAAAATTTCAGGCATCTCGAAATTGGAGCATGGTCATAAGAAAACAATCGAAATGAACGATGAAGAGATAAATAGCCTCTCGACGTCAATGGAGCATCAATGATTCACACCTTCTTCTAGGTCTCGAAAGTGCTTTCGCTTAGCACGACGTACTCGATTAAGCGAACATAGTTTGAATAAATGAATGGATACTTGACCCAAACAAAGACTTGAAATTACCTAGCCATATAAAAGCTAGTACCGATGTCGCAACAGTAAAGCCTGGAGCCAATTTGCCGATCCCGAAAAAAATTAGAAGGTTGGTGAGCTCGGGATGTAGCATTCAATCAGCCAGTGTGATGATGGTCACTTGTACGCGGACGCTAGGCAAGCCGTTTTCTCAAAAAAGATTCTGATGTTCAATCACTAGCGCATGTGTAGTATTCAAAACTTTATCGACTTATAGATCGAGAAAACAAGTCTGTCGCAATGATCACGTCTGGAATTCTCAGGAATAACTTCGCTTTAAATTCGCTTAGTAGTGAAACACTCGAAGAATCAGTAGCGAAGCTCAAGGTTTTGGAGATTTCAAGAAAGGAGTTGCATCTATAAAAAAGGTCGATATTTTGAAGAACACTAATCTGTGTTGCCAAACGAGCTTTAGCCAAACCAGCTCATTGCGTTCTGGTTCGAAATATAGTCTATAAGTCGATGAAGGAGAAGAAATAGATGTTATGAGTTCTACAAAATCAGGTTTCAATGATGTTTTTGGGTAAGACGGTTTTACAATGACAAGGAACAGATCTCGTGATTTTAACATTTATCCAATGATGTAGAGTGATGTACAAAACTTATGCATCAGGCGGGTCTCGAACCTACATTTCACCCTATCCGGGGGCGCGTGTTCTACCTATTGCACTACCGACACTTGCTTTTCCACCACTCTTTTTACGCCACAACACATCTATATATCAGCAGCCAACCGTCCACGGTTTGACCTGGATGCAGATATGTTAGATAGATGTGTTGTACCATAGAAAGAGTGGTAGCAAAATAGATGTCGGTAGCGCAACGGTATAGAGCACATCTCCTCGGATAGAGTGAAGTACGGGTTTGAGTCTCGCCTGACCCTAGCTTTTGCACATCACTTTACATCAATGGGTATACTTGGGCATCATACCACCGCCAAAAGTTCTACCTTCCGTTTCGAATGTCTTCTTAAGGCTACACTTTGAAAAATTAATACATCTGGTAATTATCTTTGAGCCAACATGTCATGTGGTATTTTATGTGGCACTTATAGAGCGCAGTACACGTGTTGCGGCCTTGACAGTTTCAACTGACTGGGCTGTCAAGGCCGACACACGGCATTGGGCTGTACAAGTGACCGTGACAGATCAGATGGACGGTTCAAGAAAAAAATTATCGGGCATATTGAAATTTGAGCGTGGTATTAAGAAAACACTCGAAACGAAGGTATGATATTTCATAAATACCAGCCAAGAGCAATCAAGTGCACAACACTGTCCATCTAATACTTTCTTTCATTGATGATAGCAAGTGCAAATCGTACGTATGCGCCTTTCGATGTAAAGAGTTGGGTTTCTCGCAAGAGAATTGGCTCAGACGAAAGGCACTGCCCAATTAACGAGGGGGCCAAGGCCGACACACGGCATTGGGCTGTATAAGTGCACATGACAGATCAGATGGATGGTTCAAAAAAATTTTCATTAGGCATATTGAAATTGGAGCGAAGTCTCAAGAAAATATTCGAAACAAAAGGTATCCTAAAAGTAGTTGTATGGAAAGTATATCAATTAATCGTACTCATGTGAGAACTTCAAAGCTTCATTTTATATAATTTGGTTATTGGGTTTTCATATACCGTCTAGCCGTTAAAAAGAGATGTCGATCATGTGTCACAGTGTAACTTTTACACAATCTCTCTTGCAAGGATGAAATGGCAATGAACTTGTAATCAACAGAAATTCTTTTTTCAAAGCACTTACAGCTGTGGTATGATACCACAAATATATGTGCAACAATACTGAGTGATATACAGAACTCTGGACGTCAGACGTGATTCGAACCTGCATCTTAATCCTTCCGGAGTGAAGTGCTCACCATTGCGCTACCTGTGCTTTAGCTCCGCCACTCCTCTTTCTGCAACAGATCGGAATGATGGCAGTGTTGTTGAACATTTTGATGTTTTTAGAGCCCTGCTTAAACATGCTGTGGTTGGGAAATCAAAGCGATCTTTGGTATGTTTTCATCAACAGCTCAAATACCATCCATTTTTGGGGCTTTTTGATTCTTCCTGGCAAAATGTGTGAAGAATTAGTTCGAAGAAACTTGTCTGCATAACCGGAATTTTCTAACACTATGTTCTGCATCACTCGCCAGAAAACAGGATATGCTCTACTTACTGCATAGTCCGTGTTGGTTCAACTAAGCTCTGATTAAGAATATATGTTATGATTAGTTATTCAGTTAGTTTTTTGCATTCATTTCAGTCTTCGTCTCGAGATTTTGAACTTGGTTGGAAAGGCTCTATCGTTACCATCATCTTTTTCACAAAAGTCGATTACACTTGTAATAGTACCAATGTCTTCTGCATTATAATTACTTTATATCAGAACATTCTCAAAGAAGAAAATCGTTCGACTATGAACAATAGCAAGAACGATCAGGAGATAATTTGACTGCAAACCGAAAGAGCTGCTTGAGTTTACGGTTATCATCACCAGCTGTCCATAATCATTCGGAAATCTGTCCTGATTAATAAATGTTGATGAAAAAAGGTATTATTGTATGAAGTGGGAAATGACTTGATATTTATTTCACAAGCTGTTCTTTCAGTTCACTGCCCCTCAAAAATTTAAGCACAACAAAGAGGAGTTTGAGGAAAGGGCCGTTTTGATTTATTATCGCCACTAGAACTGTGCAACCATCTAGCTCGTGATTTACGTTTACTACTGCTTAGCTGCTGACGTTTTTGTGCAAAAGGAAGTCAGAAGCTGACCGTGCTCTGGCTGAACTCATTGGCTATAACAACCGGCAAAAGCTATCCTAATGAAATGGCAAGGAGGAACATGACATAGATCAAACATCGGCTAACACAATGACAAAAATTATCTGTTTCTGTGTACAACGTTTTGGGGATGCGAATTTTTTTTTTCCAAGTTTCTATGATTGTCACGGGAGGGTGGAAAAGGGACCACTAGCTCTTCAATAACGTATAAGGAACATGCCAAATAATCATTTTTTGAGCCACGCATGTGATATGTAATAGGACAAACTTATAAAAACGATACATCGATATCTCAAATCAAGTAAATTTCAATGGCATGTTTAATTTCTTAAATAGCTTATGTTTGGCACCGTACCAGTCAAAATAAGATTTTGTTTCTCATTCGAAATTTTCTCAATGGACAGATGTTTTGTTGTAATGAAATCTCAATCGTTAGATAGAGAAAATCTTTCCAATTATAACGGATATTTGACTTTCAGAAAGGACTTTTTTAAACTTTGTAACGATCGGAAGAGTGTTGGGTTTTACACTCAAAGAACACTTCTGGACGGCTAGGGTGTGTGAACAGCTATAAAACCAAAGAATAAACAGACTTTCTTAAATAGAAAGATCTGCTCTATTTAATAGTTAAAATTTTGTTATAAAAAACTTTTATCGGACGAGAAATCTTCAAGTGTGAAAGAGAATCTCATTTTGACTGGTACGGCGCTGAAAACAAGCGACATGAGCAGTAAAATGTACCTTTGAAATCCACTCGATTTGAGCTATCAAATAATCGTACATTCGTCAGATAACAGCGAAGAAACGCTTTTATCGAAGGCCTCAAGTGGCGCCGCCATAATAAAGAATTACCAAATTTACTGTGGAGTTTGAAAGGACAAATCTTGGGCTATGCAAGGTTTATACAAATGAAAATTCTATCTCTTTTCTTTATCGATTGACACCTGGATAAGGTACGCCACGAAAATCACATTTTGAGAAAGCTCAGTAACGAACTAGAGGCAGAATTAAAGCGCTCACGAGACAGTAGGAGGAGCAAAGCCAAGGTAGGCAACATCGGTATTGTTACGAGATATCGAACTCAGAATAGATGGAAGGGATCTCATTTTATTAAATTCGTACCAAATATGATAAACATTCGGTTTTCATTTCAAGTGCTGGATATTTAAGTTCTGCCAAAATTGACTAATGTGGATGTTTAAGTTTTGTCAAACTTGCTTCATTATTTCGTTCAAATATACATTGAAGGAGTTACCACTGCATGTAATAAATACTTCTCATATTAAATATTTGTTTTTCAAACTGAATGCTGGATCAATTCATAAGAAGAACGACGAGAATCATACATTGATGGTCGAGTGGTGAATAGTTGCTTCCAACGGTGTGGAGCTTTAAAAGTTACATCATGGTTGGATGATAGTTGCCGATGTTTAGATGTGCACTTTTTGTGCAACCAGATGGTTTTAATGCATTGAGTAGGTCTCTTCCTTCTGGTAAGTAATGTGTGGGGAGCTGAGCCACTGAATTGACGACTATTTTCATGAATCTCTTCATGTTCGAGTCATGCCCTGTATGGATCTGTTGACACACAATTTCAATTTTCCATCAGCGAAAGAGTAAACTGGATGATGGAAAGGAGAATCGGCCGAGCCATATATTCATACTCTGAGGTCAAAGTAATAGTCGTAGGTGATTACTCTCCACCTACTTTGTAGAAGCCGTTACGCTTTCTTTCGAGCTTCGGAATAAGAACATTTTACCACTTTTTGTGCGATGTTTTACCTGGCGTTGCCAACGCTTTTCCTAAGATCGGTGACATCAGTGATTACTGTTGATTTTGTCTACGTATGATCTTGCACCGCTTTTCCGAAAAGTAGTCAAAAGCGAACATGAGTTGACGGTTGCACATGGCTTGTGTGATTTCACGTTGATGTATTAGGATCAGCGCTTCTGCGTGAGAAATTAGTTTGCAGCGTCAATACTGACTACTGATTGTCATAAGAAAGGCGATCTATATCACTGGTTGGAGTGTCATGCCTGACGTCTTTCATGTGTTCTCCTATACTTTGGAAAAATTTTAATTCCAAAAAGCGAGAAGCGCTAGACGATAGAGCCGAACACATAATGCGTTTCAAGCACAATAGATGGGCGATTGCTGTGAATGATTGAACTCCGCGAGATGTCAAGAAAGAGGATCACGAAGAAGTCGCCAACCCATAGTCGATGTTAACGAAAAGCCCGGAGGGAAGATATCATGATCATCGATTACCTAGAGTGAGGAGGTACCACTAGGCTACCCTTGCACGCAATAGGGGAAAAATAAAAATCTCACTGAGGCCCGCTGGAGTAGCTAGGTGCTAGCGGAACGAAGGCTAAGAAAATAGTGTAATATTCAGCTTGATACTTTTCTTTCGTTTTTGTTTGAAATTACTCAAGTTGCGCAGCCACAACAGCTTGTCATAAAATTGTGAGATTTTTTTCTCAATATACTCATTACATAAATGCCAAATAATTCACTCATAATCAAGTAACATTCTCTAGCAGAGAAGAAATGAAAGTTCTCGCTATCCGTAAAATCAAGCTGAGCACCGAGTACGTGGTAATGAACTTTATTAAGATTCATATTCCTTTAAGGCAAACTATTTCAGCAAACCCGTCGGAGCTAGTGGGATCGTGGTTCGTGCCATGGAGATGAAGCCGATATCATGTGGGACGGGAGTTTATCAGCCAGTGAGTCTTGAAAACAAGCGTTTACTAACTTAAATCACTTGAGCTTGGAACTCTATCCATAATACTATTTGATTAGACTGAGGCTCTGTTTGCTCAGGTAGCAGGGCCTTGTCCATGTCAACTACAAACTCTTCAAGTAGAGCTTACGGCGAATCGAAAGTTAGTTA